TATTTTTCCCTTGAGATTGCTGTCAGTCAAGATAGGTTGGACCTATCTAGGAGGAGCGGCCGAACTCTCCTATTTTCTCTCAGAGGTGATCAGTTTTTTTTTAGGTTTTGTCATTAACCCTATGGCTAGACTTGACTGTGAATTCTTTTGAAAAGTGCGGCTGAGCACTGCTTATGTTCTCACAAAGATCTTCCTAACCCTACGATTAAAACCCTAATTCTGCTTCAGCACTACAGATTGCTTTCTAAGTGGGTTTCAGACCTGATTTTGGCTTCCGAGCCTGTTTTGGGGRTGAGAACTGTTATCGGACTGCATATATTCTGGTTGCCGATTGGTTTCAGATCAGATCTGAACTGATTTCATACAGATTTCTGATTGTGATYGATTGTTTAAGTGYTGTTTTCTATTGTAGTAACCCTGATAGTTCTTAACTACTGATTCTTGACCAAGAATGGAGTTCAAAAATCAGGGARAAGGTGTKTTKGGGARCARCAGTTCTGGTAGTATGTCTGAGACTGCGTTTCAGATTACAACTGTGAGATTTGATGGATCCAATTACATGGAATGGGCCCAATCAGCCATGATGGCTATTGGGGGAAGGGGAAAACTTAGCTACCTATTGGGAGATGTGAAAGTGAAGGGATGAGAGATCCACCGTATGGACGCCCAAATCTTGCGGAATTAGGTGGGCGAATTTCAAAAATTTTTTCTCTCCCTTCAACTGGGAATCACATTCCCTATTTAGAAAATCATATTTTCAATGATCAATCTTGAACCATAAACTGAACCAGATCTGAACAAAAGCAGTAGGAGAGGATTATACCTGATACGGAGAAATAATATCTCCCAACGAAGGTGCTCACGCCCAAGGAAAGATCCAAAGACTGCTCCCACTGAAGATGGCGCAGTGTAGGATGGAGCAGAGTCAGCAGTGTTCTTCTCCAAGAACCTAGTCCTTCGCAAGAAATAGCAGGATGGCACGTGAGCACAACTTCCTATCAATTCCTTCACACGGAACCGATATCAAGATCGAATCTTGATTTCTCCCACTGAAAAGGAGGTCGAACTGGCAGGTGAGGCGGCGGCAGGAAGGAGGCGGCAAGAGAAAATTTTCGCAGGTATGCTGAATTCTCTCTTCTGTGATTTCAGCTCTAAAGACTTGCAGTGATCTGATGATCTTGTGATCATCTAAAGGCTGCCGCCCCTTCCTTCTTTTGTAACCTTGAAGGATAAGCTCCTAATCCCATTAGAAGTTGCTGATCCAAATCATATTTGGATCAGGCATCCCTTTAGGTGATAAGGATAAACCCTTATCTTATCTGCAGATTAGATCAGCCTTYTCCTAATCTCATTAGRAGGTTTYBAGATCYGAATCACATTCAGATCTGGACTCTCTGAGTGGATAGGGTTAA